CCTCCTTTTATGACTCAACAATTATTTTATTTTTTTTACTATGAATTTTTCTTTTTATTTTTATATTGTGAAATTAATATTTTTTTATATTTTTAAAAAAGAAAATTAACATAAGACATTGCAGTATCTAATTTTTTAGGGTTTAGGATTTATGCCTTCATTAGCTTATTTTTTTAAAAATGAAATATTGTTAAAATATTTGTTAGAATAATTTACATTTATAAATATCGTTAAAAATTATCATATAATATATAACTAAAATAAAATATATATATATATATATATTTTTTTTTTCTATATCTAAATACTTTCGTTTATATAAAAAGGTTATATATCTAAATATTTTTTCAGTATCGAATATATTAATTTTTTATATATAAAAAATTATCTTTTATTTCTATATTTTTCGTTTTTACATTTTTTTATAATGATTGAGATATTTGATCCATTTGGATAGCCAAGATACATTCGATCTTGTATAATTAGTGTGCTTCTAAAAATAATAATATAATTTTATTGATTTTGTCTCTTATCCATAATTATTTATATATCTAGTTTTTAACATATATTATTTTAGTAATTCAAATGGGAGATTCACATGGAAATAATAAAGAAAAAGAAAAAGAGAAAGAAAACTATGAAGCTTAGACCAAGAAAGATTCCGATGAATTGTTACAATTGATAGTGGATGCTATAAAAAGATGATAGAATATTATGGAGAATTATTATTATTATTTATGTAGACATTATTGTTTTTTTTATCTTTAACTCTTTTTAAATTTGAATGTATGAATTTTTTTTAAATCTTATCAAATGTCAAAACTCCACAAAATCCCACAGAATCCATTAAAATCTTGATTTAAAAGTCTTGTAGAATCCATTAAAATCCTGATTTTAAATCTTGTAGAATCCTGTAAAATCTTAAAAGTTATGAAAATCCTGCAAAGTCTTTTAAAATCCACAGGATTTTTTTTCACTAAGTCTTTTAAAATCCTAATCCAATATACACCCCTTAAAATCCGCAGGATTTTTTTAACTAAAAAAGTCATTTAAAATCCTAATCCAATACACGCCCCTTATTTTTTTCCCCTAAAAAGTAACTTATTTTATTTTAATTTTTAATAATGCTATTCCAGTCTTTATAAACTATTATAAATTGTAAACATTTAATATAATTTTTATTTATTATAATTTTGTTATTATAGTCAATATCATATCAACATTAAGATATTTATATTAATTTATTATCAATTACAATAAAATGTTAACTAGTGTCTAAAAATTTATTTAATAAAATATAATACATATATATTTTTTTAAAATTAAAAAGAAGGAGAAAGAGAGAGAGTTACATTTTGTTTGCATGTGATTCTGTGAAGATAAATAAATAGAAGAAGTGGCAAAGCAAAAATTCCAGAAGCCAAAGCTTCACATCACAAACCCTAATCCCTTTTTCTCTTATCTTCTTCTTCTTCTTCCTCTCTCTCTCTCTCTCTGCAATAAACATGTCTCACTTTGGACGGTCTGGTCCTCCAGACATTTCCGACACTTACTCTCTTCTCGTTCTCAACATCACCTTCCGTAAGTTCTCTTTTTCTCTCTCTGTTTTTTCTGTTCAATTGTTCAGCTAAACCCTTAATTAATCCTTCAGGCACCACCGCCGATGACCTATTCCCTCTCTTCGATAAGTATGGGAAGGTTGTCGACATCTTCATTCCCAAAGATCGAAGGTACTTTCAAATTTCAATTCATTTCTTTTCTTTTATTACTGCATTATTTATTTATCTATTTATCTAACATTTCTGCAATTTTATTTTTTCTTCGTGAAGGACCGGTGAGTCGAGGGGTTTTGCTTTTGTGCGTTACAAGTATGCTGATGAGGCTCAGAAGGCCGTTGATAGGCTCGATGGTATGTATGCTTATTATTCGTCTTGTCGTTTGATTAGTTATTGAATAAACAATTTTTAACTTTTCAGGAAGAATGGTTGATGGTCGTGAAATAACTGTCCAGTTTGCAAAATATGGGCCTAATGCTGAGAGGATGTAAGTTCTTCAATTGTATTTTGTTTTTTGTTTATTTATTTGTTAATTTTTTCATTTCTGTTGTAATTGTTGTGCTGTCGAATTTAAACCTTAGCTATGTCTACTCTGTTTAACTTCTACTTGGGTGGATAAGCCCTTTTTCTTTGGAAGTATTTGTCATTGTTCGAATTGATGCTACTCTCTTGAGAGACATCTACTGCGGTGGAATCTTAATTTACAAATCTATTATGCCGGTATGTTTGAGCTTAACACTCACAGGGGCAGTGGTGGTGCTGATAAGAATTAAAACATCTAAGTGGTATTCTCATTATTTTTTCTCTCAATTTGGATTTTGGCAAACAAGTTAAAACAATTGGTTTATAAAAAGTACCCAAACAGACTCTTGTGTTTTGATCTTTTATAACCAAAAATAAATAATTAAGAACAATAATCAGACTGGCCCCTTGCTATGACTTTCTCCATTTTCTTGCATGATGTTGACCTATTTGCTTGTGGAATGTATGCATTTGTCTGTTGCTTAGTTCACCTTTTCAATTTGCAGTCACAAAGGAAGGATTATTGAAACAGCCGAGAGATCAAGGCACAGGTCAAGGAGCCGCAGTCCCAGGAAAAGGTATGGTGTTTTAAATTTCCTTGCTGCTTCTAGAGTGTTGGGATTTTAGTATCTTCAGAACTTTTTACTACCACTGTGTAATTACTTTTCTTATTGATTCGACAAATTGGACAAGTGTGCTTTGATTGCTTGTGATGAGATGAGTGGGATATTTCAGTTGCATGTGATTTCTTAGCTTTGATTTTATGTTGTGAAAGGTGTCTGCACTTCATAGCTAAAACCATCTTTGGGAATCTTTGTTGTTAGATTGAGTGCTATGTTGTTGTGACAATCAAACGCTGCTTCATGCAATATAGTTCTGGACTTTAATGAAATGTTAGGTTACTTTCTGTTTTCAGCTCATTAACTTGTCTAATTGAAAGAATCTTGTACAACATAAAATGAAATATGGTGACTATAGTGTCATACCATGCTTATAGTAAGTGTATGTTTTTTGTTGATTAATGTTCGAGAGTGCTCCCCCCCCCCTCCTCCAATAATTACCAGTTATGCCATCTTAGCATAAAATTATGTTGTGGGAGATGTTTTCAACAGAATAGTGTTTGGATTACCTTATTTTGGTAAATATTTTCTTTTTTGCAGCTTTTAGTTTTCGAGAAAACATGTTAATTACTCCCCAAAACAATTGATTTTCAAATGTTCCAAATTCTATTTATCTGATCATTTTGAAAATTGCTTTTGGCATTTAAAATGGACTTTTGATAGCCAATATGTTGATTATTGTCAATATTTGCAGGTATCGTGATGATTACAGAGACCGGGATTATAAGAGGAGAAGTCGTAGCAGAAGCTATGATAGGTATGAACGTGAAAGGCACCGTGGGAGAGACAAAGATTATCGTCGTAGAAGCAGGAGCCGAAGTACTAGTCTTGATTACAAGGGTCGTGGGAGGGGACGCTTTGACGATGAGCGTCATAGTAGAAGCCGGAGCAGATCAGTTGATAGGTCATCCATTGATATGATGATATCTAGCTTTTTCAATTATTTTTTTCATTTATTATTATTATTATTATTTGACACTTCTGTTGTTATTCTCTATAGCCGCTCCCCTGCACAACGCAGTCCTAGTCCTCGAAGGAGTCCTTCCCCTCAGAGGAGCACTTCCCCTCAAAGGAGTATTTCCCCTAGGAAAAGTCCACAGGGTGAAAGTCCGGCAAATCATAGCCCTGGTGGACATTCTCCTACCCCTCGCAGTGTCTCACCACGTGGTCGCCCTGATGCTTCACGAAGCCCTTCCCCTCGTAATTCAAATGGTGATGTAAGTAATTTTGGTCTTGAACATGAAGTAATAAAATTACCAACTTTGCAGTAAACAAGGTATGTTTGTTTTTACCTATTGTGACTTTTCAATTTTGTTCTTTTGCAGGAATAAGTTATGGATGTTTATACATGAAAAGTTCTGGAGATGCTGGACTATTGCACCTGTAGCTGTTTTGCTATGGTTGGATCTTTTAGTCTATGTGAACGGTGTTATCAGAGTCCTGGAAGGATTTTATGATCTAAGTGCTGTTTGGTAGGATCAGACCTCCTTGATGTTTGAATATTTTAATATTTGGACTTTGCTATGTTGTCTACTTCAGTTTTCAGTGACTATTAGACCTTGCAGTTGATAGGTTAATATCTCATTTTGAGGGCTTTGCCATCTTATTTTCATACTGTTTGCATTTTCTCTCTCCATATCTTCATTTTCATTCCCACTTTATAGGAAGGAATGACTGTGTTCTAGTTAAAGCTCAGTTAATTTATGTTGAACAACTTATTGGGTTTTTATAGTTATGATGGAAAAGTGATGGGGCCTGTTAGGCGCATGTTGACTTTGTTGCTGTCGATGCTGTTTGTGTCCTTGATGATTGGTCGTGAATTTGATGCTGGTTGCAAGAGTATGCTGGTTTTAGGACTGTGATTGTTTTACCAGTATGCTGATTAGACAGACAATTAGTTGACTTGGTTTTTCCTGATTGATCTGATCATTGGTAAGCTTTTTTGGTTTACGTTTTTGTTTCTTCTGAGATCCCTCATAACCACTGAGAATTCTGATCTTTGATCTGGTAACCGTGTTTGGTGTTCATTGGAAAAAGTGTCCTGAAAGGGATTCTTGATGCTGTGACGAACACAAGTTCAGCATTTTTTGACATGTAGCTGTTGCCTCGTAGGAGTTGGACCTGTCATTTGTTGATTCAGATGCAGATATTTAACGTAAAACTGTGGGTACTAAATATGAACGTTAATGTGCTGGTGTTTATTTCAAATTACAGTGAAGGGAACAATGGTAACACATACTTTTTGAGGATATTTTAATGGATAGTTTTTAACATTGACCTTTCAAGATTATAGCATCTGCTACTTAATGTAGTTGAGTTACGTTTGTTGTAGCACTGCTCCATGACACTGTAGCTGTGAGGTGGTAGCTGATGCATCTTTTATATGAAATGCATGTGTTCGTGAATAATTTGAAGAACTAACCAATTACGTAGCTGACTGTTGCTGCCCTTTTTTGCTGTGTTCGGGTTGGCAATGGTATTAGCAGTTGCTACTGATGATGCTGTCTAGCTGTGCTGCTGGTTTCTGTTGATTCCAAAGCCGCGTGACAGAATTGTTTTTCACTATTGAACTGGTGATTTGTTTTTGTAGCTTAATTTCAGTTATTCATTTTTTTTTCTTATGGCATAAAAAGGTTTACCCCTATTGCTTGTCTATTGTTGCTTTGGCATTTTGATCAATATCGCAACATTTTGTTTTGGTTAACTGTTTGGCAACTGAAATAACAATTGTTTTAGAGATGTGTTTCTCTTAAATTTGCAAGTTTCCTCGAGTTGGTGGTGAACTTTTTCATTTATTACATTTGTTGGCAATTTCTTCTTTGAGTAACTGGGCTGCTATCATGTCAGATAATTTATATGTATGTTGTGGTGATCTGGTAAAGATTTTTAGTCTTGAAAGTATAATAAAATGTCGTTAATCATTTTTTTCACGAGGAATGTTGCACATAATAAAATTGTAAAACTTGTACATTATTTTTATGTTTATCTTTTTTCATCACTTTCATTTATTATGAAGAGATATTAAGAATCGGGAGATATAAAACAAATGTGCAAAAATGGTACGATTAACATTAATCTTTTCCCCACCGGAATCTTGTGTTTTTGGTAATAGAAAGTCAAGTGTGTGTTTATAATCTCGGCACAGTGCTGTTGTATTAAGTGGAGACAATTAATTGCTTTGCGTTATCTAAGCACAGTGAGGAATATGAAAATACCCAGTTTTAATCTGGTGTAAGTATAGTTGAATTTTTGCGTTTTACTTCATAGTATGTTTCTTGAACTTGGATCCTCCATCCGGCGTGCGTATGACCAAATAAATTAAAAGGACACATTCGAGAGATGAAACCAAATAATAGTGATAAATAATAGTGAAAATGAGGCACATAGTGATAAAATTTAAAAAGTGTGTAGTTAAGTTCAGAATAGTGAAATAATTAAGTAAATTAATTAAAAGGTATAAAGGTAATAAAGTGAATTAATTAGGGATAAAATAGTAAAAAAAATGTGGACACTAAAATAAAATATTTTCTTTATTAATTTATAATGGTAGTTATAGATAAAGGAGATAAAGAGCCGTAGAGGCTGCAGGGGAGAGTGCCGGAGAGGATCCGGATCCTCAGCGTGGATGAGTAAGACTCTGTCCATTTCAATAATAAAAATATTTTGTTTAAAAGATCCTATTCTGTATAACATGAAATTATAATTTTTTTAATTTTAAATATAAAATATACCTTAATTTATATATTTATTTTATAATCACTATTTATACATTAAACATCAGCATCTTTTTTTGTGTGTTTTTAGAGACAATATTTTTTTTTAGAAATTCTTTTAATTTTCTATCTAATTTAATTTTTATTTATTATTATTTATAAATTAAACTTTAATATTTTTAAATATAAAATATCGATAAATAAAAATAATCTTGTGCTACATATAATTTATCATATTTAAAATATTACTTAAAAATATTTATTTATATAAATTTTAAATATAACATATATGTAAACACAATATTTTTTTTATATATAATTTATTATAAAGTTTAATTGTATATAAACATGGCTAGCTATGGCTGTTTAGCAATTAAAAAAACACTCATCTCTCTAACCTTCCATTCTATTTGTTCGTATGTATCTTATTTTCTTCTTTTCATATATATCACTCCTCTACGTATCTGTGCAGCTCCGAATCAAGTATTATGAACGGAAAAAATCGTAGTCGAAAGAGGAGACGACATTAAGTAAGGTATTTCATCGAAAATTAGTAATTATTGGTAAAATAAATAGATATTTCACACTTGTAACATAATTGTAAAATATAAAAATAAATAACTGAGTGCGGCAATCCACCTTCTATTCTCTAACCTCAGTTTCTCCTTGTTCTAATTCTCCCAGAAACATAGCTATTGTGTGTTAACTTCCCTTGTTCCCCCTTTCATAATGGTGGTACGAAATACTGAGATTATTGGCCCTAGAAGAAGCCCACGGATTCTCTAATGGAAAGAACTTTTTAAAACTCATGTTGGTTCGTTCATAATTTGTATTTAAACTACTATTTAATAATATATAATTATATAGTTTTAGATTTTAAATTCTTAAATAATTGTTATTATAGTTAAATCTTCTAATAGTGTAAAATAAATTATTAGATGAAATTGTCAAAAAATAAAATCTTATATATTAGAAGAATGCTACCAATACATTTTTAACACGTTTCTAATGAGTAAATAGTGTGTACTATTAGAAGGATTGACTTGAATTCCTTTTTGCCTTTGAAATTTTGATTTTTTTCATTTATCAAATTTAAGATTATTTTTTAATCTATAAAATAATTACATATTAGACATCAAGACATTATTTCCATATTAAGAAATTTTTTTTAAAAAATTAAATTTGAGAGATAAAAAATAAGTTTGACCCAACTTTAAATTGAAATATAAATTGTTATGGATGATAATTTATTTATTTTTCAATAAATATCTTAAAAGTATTGCTTACTAGAATTTTTTTATCAGTGTAAAAGGTTTACATTAATATTAAGTAAAAATTGAACTATTTTAGTATTTATTGGAAATTATTAAAATTTACAAAATAAAATAATTTTCTTTGATAAATTTCACTTATACTTAAAGTCTTATAAATTTGTTCACGAAAAAGTAAGTCTTTTAATTGATAATAAAGAGGAGTATGAGAATGTATTAAAGATAATAATTTATGAAGTGTTTGAAATCAAAAAAAGAAGTTATGTAAAAAAAGTTAATTAAAATTAATTTCTTTTATATAATTAGAATATATAACTCCTCCGCACCAAATTGATTCATTTATAGAGTAAGGTAATATTAGAGCACCCCAGCGGGGTGCTTAGATGTATCTTAAAAATAAGCAACACTGTTTATAAGAATTTGTCATTGGAGTAATCTGACGTGGCAACAAAAGTTCAAATTTTTTTAGCTTCATTACTTCAGCAAGGAATAGTGCTTAGCACTATGAAATTCCAAATGGAGAGGTGTGATTGGCTCATCTGGTTCCAAGCTTGAACGTGCATGAAGGTTTCGCAAACAAAAATCAAAGAAACCAGGAACTGCCGGAGAGCATCGTTGTCCTTGCACCAGCGTCGTTGTCCTCGTGGTCATCGTCAGCTCGTCTCCGTCGACGTCCGCTCTGCCTTCCTCTCCCCGGTCGACGCACTCCAAAGCAACGTCGAGATCCTCACTCACCGTGACGTTGTCGTCCTCCATAGCAAGTCCGGCGTCGCTCGACGCACTCCACGACGACTCGGGATCCTCGCCACCAGCCACGGCCAACACCCACTAGCCACCAGCCACCAGCCACGACCAACACCCACCACTCACCACCCACAAGAGAGAATGAGAGACGAGAGAGAATGAGAGAAAGAAAAGATAGACGTTGAGAGAGAAAGAGGGAACAAGAGAGAATGAGAGAAAGAAAAGAGAGTCGTTGAGAAAAGATAGAATGAGAGACAAAATATGTAATTCCTTTTTATTATTGTTAACTTTGTTGTAATTTTTGGTAATTCTTTTTTATTGATTTTTTTTGTAATTTTTAGTAATTCTTTTTATTATGTAATTTCTTTTTATTATTGTATTTTTTTCTTATGTCATTTATTTTGTTGATTCTTCATATTTATATATTATCCATAATAATTAATTTTTAAAAAAATTTATCATAAAGTGTAGTGTGAGTTGTCAAAAAGTTTAGTATGAATTGTAAAAAAGTGGAGGTGCTTATAAGCAATTCTCATTGGAGAAAAAATTGTAAAAATATAATATGAATTGCTTATAAATAACATGGCACAGTGAGACCCATTTAAAGTGGATAGAAATTGCTTATAAGTAACTTCCATTGTAGATGCTCTTATGATTTAGACAAGGATCAAATTCTAATTTTTCATTAGAGAACATAAATGTCAAATCACTAGTGAATAATTTTTCATAATTAAATTAATTTTAATTTAGTGCATAATAACCCTCCTTCTAAAAAAAAAGAAGGAAAATAATGTATAAAAAGAAAAAACTTCCTTAACTAAGGCTAGTAACATAGTATTGAGCAAAAGAGAATCTTAAGACAGACATTGGAAGCATTACATGTGGGGCCAGGATCCTTTAGCGTTTTAAATTAAGTGCATGAAGTTATCATTGAAATTCCAATAGTTTGTAAATTTGTATTTATTTGGTGATGTTAAAATTTTATTCTTTACACAAATAATTCTCTTTTAACGGGTAAGATAGGACCTCAACCCAAAGTTGTGTGAGAAACCTCGTATACCGAGCATCAACACCTATATGATAAGCAAAAGTACATGAACCAAATAAACTATACCAAACTTGTTGCTTGGTCTGTTTGGTGTTGTCATTCTCGCTGTCTACATAATAGACGTTTCTATTCCCTTTCTCTTTTTCTGATCTGTACTTCCTTTTCCTTGCTAAATGTGTTCCGCAATGAGCCAAATCAAATACCATATGTCAGATTACAAGGAAAGAATTAATGCACTTTATTCATGCCCATCTTGCAGACTAACCATTTTACTGTCCACTTTTTTGTTTCTCGCTATTAGGCAAATCCTCGGAGCTTAAATTACTAATCATCATATCATTGATATCCATGAAAAATATAAAATCATTAAAATCCAATCTAGACTGGACAAAATATAAACTTGCCAATAACCGACAAATGGTTAAGGTTGCAATTGAAAGAACTTATTGATAATTTATTTAAATGCATGTAATAACTTAGAACCTATATAAATATTTTATTTCAAATCGAGAATTTAATTTGGTAGTTGACGGATTCGAGATATAAGGTATGTGCCAGATGTTCAACATGCTGTTGCACTAGTCATCAAATCCAAGAGTTTCTTATCTGATCTCTTTCTTTTTTCGTTTCCTCTCTGTCTGATTACAGCTTCGGTCAAAAGGAAAAAAAAAAAAAGCCATGTTGGACCTGTCAAAGCCAATCATTTCAAATTCTCATACACTGATTACTTTGCGTGGATCCGAAACCTCGAGGCTCGTGTCGCATATTCTAAAGCTTAATGTGCTTCTGTCCCTGAAAAAGCTTATGGTTTTGCCTCATTCTCCTAGTTTAAACAGTCATCAGACTCAAAACCCAAGACACCCCCCACTATGTTTCTACCAACTTTAGTTGATCTTGTGTTTGGTTTGACATATAAATAACCTTGTATGTCTCTGTCTCATTGATTAACTCTCCATTTCAATTGTTTTCAAATCATTCTGTCTCACTTTATCCTTCACCCTGCACTCTCTTCCCTCTCCAAATCATCATTCTGTTGCATCATTTCCTCTCAGCTGTTATTACCATGGAGGTACTATTCCTGTAACTTTTAATCTCATAGACTATTACATTGTTCATTCAGATATTATCTCATTCTTTCACATTTGGCCTATAACACATGGGGAAAATATACAAGATTACTTGTTTTTTTTTAAGTTTATAGAAGTATTGATTTTTATCATTTTAGTTTATAGAAGTATTATAGAGGATGCTATTTATTAAATTAACAAATGAAATCATGCATGCTCTATCAACAAAATGATTACGGGTATCACCATGGCCTGATTAATTGGGAAATGATATTAGTCTCATATATGCAATGTTTTGCTTTGCAGGTTGTTGAGTTAAAGGTTGAGATGGTTTGTATACATGAGAAAAGACTAAGAAAATGCCTCTCAAAATTAAAAGGTTAGTTTAATTGAAAAAGATTCATTTTACTAATAGTGTCACAATAATTATGAGTTGGTTGTTGTATTAATGTGTGGCACTGCTTGCAGGGATAGAGAAAGTGGAAGTGGATACTAACTGTCAGAAGGTGGTGGTCACTGGATACACACACAAGAACAAAATCCTAAAAGCAGTTAGGAGAGGGGGTCTCAAGGCTGATTTCTGGTCTGCTCAGAATGAGTTGCTAAATGCTTATGTTAGTGCCAATTATGCCAGTTTTAGATTCAACCCCTTTAGCTTCTTCTAGTTTTTCTCATCCCCAATTCCACCAAATTTGTTATACTTTTTCCTTTTTGGGGGGACTTTCTCTTTGGGCTTTAATGGCTTCTGTCCAGTGTGGGATGATAGATATATAACTAGTTTGTAATCATTTTGCCTCTCATTTCCAGAGAAATCATGACCAATCACAATGTTCAATGAAGATATTTTAGAAAGTGTAAGAGACATATCCAATTCAATTTTGAGGCCTCTACTGTTACTACAAATCTCAAACTCATCCTTTCTCTGCATCTGGCCGCAACTATCCTGAATGATGACATGTCTTTGAAGGGCAGATTGAATTTAAAAAATATAACATAAAATATAATACAAAACCAGCATTAAAGAATCTGTTTACAACATGATAAAAGAAGTATGAACATCAAAGTTTCTTCTAAGAACCTAAAATATTGGAGTACAGTTGATCAAAAAATAAATTAAAATATCGGGGTACAAATACAACTGCCTTCTAAAATCGCATCCATCTTAATACCTATCATCAGCACCTACTAATATGTTAACCACTACTAGACCAACTCTGTACGATTAGCACATGTTTAAAGCAGTAAGATACCCTCATAACTTCTGCTTTAATTCTTCTATTTTAATTATAAGTTGTTCGTATTTACTGCATAAAAAACTCAACAAGTTGAGAAGCAGCATGATAATAATGAATTCATACCATCTTTTGGACTGTTCTATTGATGCTTAGTGGATGAGTCAACTGCTAGGTCACATGTGATACCCTTTTTACCATTACTTCTGTTTGAACAGCATTTTACTATTCATAGTGTTATCGACTAATAAGACAGCAGCAATTTTTGTTATAGGATGGTGCATTTGGTCATTTACTTCGGTTAATAATAAGTCTGTTTGTTTTTCACTCAAATCACAATTTCTAGGTGATATTTCACTAGAGTTGGGGAGCTTAGTTCAAATTCGTGTTTTTCACTAATTAGCAAAATTTGACGAGTATTTGGGGTTCCACTGATGTGTATAAAAGGGTAATAAGGACACTTATCATTGCTAGGTGTAGTGGATTCAGTACACAAAACACAGGTCCTTCGGTCAAAATGATAGAATGAATATGATTAATTACTGCTATTTTTAGATATGAGATTACCCCTATATAGCTTCAAAGGAACAATGATTTTCATTGGTGAAAAATAAATTGGCCTTTAGATCAATAGTAAAGCACTAAAACTGCTATTCATCAATGGAAGAAAAATATCATCATCAAAATTCATAAATTTTACTCACCAACCACTCCATTTATCTTCTAAAGCAAAAAACATCTGATACAATAATGCCATTGCTTAAGAAACAAGGAAATAATGCATTACTACCAAACGTCCCTACATATGGGTGGGTCTGTCCATGAACCAACATCTGGTGCTTCTTTGAAAACAGCTTAATTAGCTTGTACTACCATTCTGTTCACCAGTATCACCCTTATTTGGTTTCCCGCCACAACAGAAGAAGTGTGGAAGCCTAACACGACCACAACTCCTGCCAAAAAAAGTGAGGTTAATTACTCAGATCTGATCTGGAAAATCATGTAAATATAATATTTAATCTTTTGACAATGGTATATATAACGGACACACACTTAGTAGACCAACCTACACATGTCACATATAGACAACAGACATGATGCATTTTGAATTTTAAGTGCAAGCCTTTCATAAACACTTCACAGGCAGTAGATGATGGAAGCCCATGTAGAAGATACAAGGATGGTCTAAGAAATCATGGATCAGGCTATTCATGAGCCAGGTTCAAAGAGATAAAACATAATTGAATTTCTATCCTATATCCTTTTGTCATCCTAGAACGGAAGAAGTACTTGACACTGACGGCCATCCATTCTAATTAACTAGAACTTCCATTATTGTGATAGATAAATCATAGGACCAACAAATTTGGATAACTTTACTAATAATTAGAGTTTTAAGATTATTGCATTCTAAGGACAATTAAACAGTCAAACGTTTCAGAACAAGATCCACCGAAAAAGAAAGATATTAGCACAACTAAAGTCGCTTGAAGTTTTTCCTAGTTTTCTAATGGTATTTGTTGCTGATTATGATCTGCTTTCTAGTTATTAAATAGAGCACTTCGGTCATACCAAAAAATAAATAGAGACCTTCCTAAATTCTATATTTTCCAAAATTTAGAAGCATTTTGTTAACTCCCACATAGATATTGAAAGATCCTTTTACTGTGGAATCCATGGTGGTATGACACATGGTGAAAAAGAAAAACCAAGTATGATTAAATATTTTACACATAGGTACTCTAGTTTAGGTGCTACCAATTCATCGATCTGATGACTCTCGACTACATTGTAGAGAAATGCTTTGCTCCTTCAAAATATGTATCAAGAAGAATTTGGACGAGTGATATGACCAGCAATTTTCTAACTTACGTGAACACTTGATCAGCAGTAAAAACAAAAATCAATTTTAGGCATTTTATAGCTTCATAGAATTTTGGGGATGAGAGTGACTAAGCAAGTACAGTAATTCACACCTAAATTGATTAATCTTATAATGAATGAATACACATGAAAGCATATAGTGAGATTTACTCCTCCCACTTCTCACACTCTCACTCAAATACACAACATTCAAAGGCTCTTACAAAAGGAAATCACCAGATAGATGCAGAACACAACAAATAACAGAAAACATTATTAAACCTTACTTGCATAGGACAATCACAGGAATAGGCTTCAGAGCTTTTGGCCCATTCCTTATTCCTCTTTTATGGGGAGAAACCTGCACCACAGACAGAGAAGCAAGAAAAATCGAACACCTATAGAGTGCGAAACAAGAAGAATAAATCGAAAACCAAAACGACAGAGAAGTGAAGTGAGTACCTTTCGTTTTGGGACAGCCATGAGCTCCATAGAGCCACCAAAAGAGAAAATTGGCGAACTAAACTCGGGCAAAAGGGGTTGCGTCGAGCGAAGTCCAACATCAATGCTCGCAGCTAGAGGAGGAGAATGGGGCACCGAATGAATCCACCTATTGAACCCTGAAACGCTGCCCCTCACACTGGCGAGCCTCGCTGCCATTGGTGTGGTTAGAAGCTTGGATGCTTGTAATTGCTAATTGGATAGAGCGTCGAAACCCTAACACTGCAAAAGAGGAAGGTAACGGAGACGGAGACGGATCCTCGTGAAATGCACGCCCAATAATTACATTTAAGTATGAAAATTTTAAATATATTTATAATTACATTTATATTTTAAAATATTAAATAATTTCGTAATTACATGTATATTAAACAAATAATTTAAATATCTAATAAATTATAATCGTTGTCTTATCTTTAAATATAGTGATTAAAATATTTTTTTATTCACTTTTAATGTTCATAATTTATTTTTTACTATAGTTTAATGTTCATAATTTATTTTAAAAAAACTTTTAAATATATCAGAGAAATGGAATTGTAAATAAAATATTATAATTAAGTGTTTCTTTTCATTTATCTGAATTCATTACATATCCATTTTTTTTATTATCATTTCAGAATTTTTGATAAATTGGTCTAAAATAAATATTACGATTCAGAATTTTCTTTCAACCGTTGTAACTTATTGATTATTTTTCTTTTTAAAATTTTTTTCGATATATCAATTACCAAGGGTTGAAATCGATATTAAATATTTAATGTTTTTAATTATTGTATGTTATAAGTGTAATAATTGAGTCTATATTTTTCTATTTTAAAATTTTGTATTTTATTTAAATTAAATATATAGAGACATAAAGTGTTTAATCCCTTTTAGTGATATTTACAAAAAATATAAAGTGTTTAATCTCTTTTAGTGATATTTACAAAAAAATTTAAGTTAGTATTTATGATGCTTAATATTCACTCTTTAATTTATATTATTATTTATTTTATGAATTAATATTATATTTGTAACAACATATTTAGGATGTCAAAAAAATTCACACCTACAAATATACGTGGATAAAATCGTAAAGAATAGAAAAAAGATATTGTAAGTAAGGTTAAATTTTTAATTTTTAATTTTATAATTTAACATTCTTTCTCATTCATCAGAATTTATTGTAATTGACTTTTTAAAAAAAAAATTTAAAATATTTGACAAAGATGCCAAAAGTAATTATTACAATAGAAATTTTTCTCATCCATTATATTTTATTGTTCATTATATTTTTTTTAAAAAATTTTCAATATATTAATTAGAGAGTGCAAAAAATAAATATTATAATAAAGGATTCTCTCTCATTCATTTTTTTTTTTAAAAAGCTTATTTCATTTCATTCACTATAATATCATAAATACAAGTTGATATATAATCAAATAAATAGTTGCTAGCATAAAACTTAGATGCCTTAACTAAAGAATAAACCACTTGGTTTAGTTGCATCTAACTCATCATTGAGTTTGGAATAAAAATTAAAAAATCAAGATATTTTGTCAAAATAAAATAGAAATTATAACTTCTCTCATTTTTATTATACTCTATTGTTTCTTTAAAAACTTATAGTTATATCATAAGGACAAAATATTAAGTATATTTTTTTTGTATTTTTTAAAAACAATTTTTGTATAAGAAAGAGACAAAAAATATAACTTGTACAAATAGAATGAGACTAGTTGTAATATTCTATGTATGTGCTCACCCTTTACTCAATGACAAGGTACCAAGCTCTTTTGTCTCATGAATGTATTCTACAAGAAAATGAAATCCATGAGTATGGAGCCAAAATTAAAATCATACTTGAATTAATCAACTTAAGAAAACAAATTCTGATAGAAAAGAACGACTCAATCTAATAGGGGGATGAAATAGATTTATTGACACTTAAAAAAATATATCAAAGATTAGGATCTTAATTTCTAAAACTTTTCTAAAACCAATTTCCAATGAAGTATATTAAACCTCTTAGTATATGGGATAAACTCCTATATGCTTATTTCACTAAACTTTAATGACTAAATTTATGACCAAGTTATCATTCGGTGCTTATATTCCAATTTAAACCATTTTAATCATACAAGAATATTAATCATAAGCAGTCATTTTGATAGTCAATTAAAGGTTGCTTAATGTAAAAGATAAGGGTGAGAGAAAAATGCAAAGTTATTTATCCTGGTTTAGTCACTCCCTATGTGACGTACATCTAGTCCTCAATCGTAACCTGATCAAGATTTGTTCCACTATCTTAATGAAGAAGTTTTATAAACACACCACACATGCAAACACTCTAACACTCAAGATAGACCCTTTCTTGCATCCAAGAAAGTACTTCTTGTGGAAATCTACTACAAGAACTCCTTACCACTTGAGAAACCTACTCATGATTCTTACCACAGTACACAAAAAGAATTAAGGAACGAATTCACCTAAAAGTTTGAACAGATTTGATAGTGAATTATTGACTAATCTTAGTCCTTCTCTCTAAGAATGTAGTGATGATGATGAATTTTCTCAAAATATTTCACAAAGTGTTTTACTTCTTGGTTTCATAAAGAAAACTCTAGAAGAAGATCAATGATCAAAAGTATATCACAAAATTTGCACAATATCACTTGCTTAAGTTTCTGAATGAGAGAACCATTTTTATAAAGTTTTTAGACCCAAATAATCGATTATTTTTAAGGATAATTGATTATTTTGTTCTTCATGATTTCTAAAAATCACTCAATAATAGAATAATCAATTATTTTGTAGTATAATCAATTATTCCAAAGAGCACATTCTAAGATAATCAATTATTTCACCGATAATTAATTATTACAGCAAGGTTTCTCAACTATTGAAAAACAGCAGAAATAATCGGTTATAGTTAGTAATAATCAATTATTTTTGGTTAGTTCTCAAAATTCAATTTCACACATCCAAAAACCCTCCAAGTTATTCTCAATCGTCATCATACTTATTCTTAGACGATTAGAATTAAGATTTGACTCATGCACAAAGTATAAACAAACATAAACATGCATAGAACAACATAATTGAATAACTAAGCAACATAACACATAAACTACTCCTATTACATTTGATATTCATTCATGGTCTTCATGTCTTCTCCTTTGTTCATTCATGACCTTTGTTATCATCAAAACACTTTAGAACTTGATTCACCATCCATGAATCTCAATAAAATCTACTCACCATTTGCTTAATGGCAAGGTCCCAACCCCACCGTTAAGACTATAACAAATTAAAAATTTAATGATATATCAAGTGAGATTTAGAATATTATCTTGTATAACCATATAACACCAGACTATCCCCAACCAATTCCTTCAATTGCAATAAAACTCTGGTTTGCATATACTATAATCAAAGAAACTATCTGCACACAACAAAATTAAATGTTTATGTGGCTAACTAATTAAGCAATAATAAAAGCAACATTCAACATATGACCAAACTCAATATCTATTTATAAAATATAAGAGTCTCACTAATAGTTTTCACTATAAATTGTAGAATTTGGAAATTGTCTTGAGAAATTTTTTCAAAATTAAGACTCCTAACACTTGTTGAAAACATAACAGACAAGAAAAATAAATCAATAGGGCATCTAAGATAATCAAAATCTAAAATTGGAATCCATGAAGGGAAAAAATGGACATTGACTATCATCATTATAGGCAAGTAACTTTCAAGTACAATGCCAATAATAAATATCTCTACTAGCTTCTAGCTATTTGGAAGAGGAGATGATTTTATACTATCTTTTAAAATTGTCATAATAGTAACTACAATGTTAAAGAAAATTACATATAATAGTAACTATAATGTGGGTGTAAATATATGTGCATATGATGTTCAGATATTATAAACAAACATAACATTAAATAATAAAGTTCACCATACTAACTTATGAAAAAATTGGCTTGTGAAGAGTAAGTAACCAGAGTTTTATTATAGCATAGAAAAATAAAACAAACTTCCACTTATAAAAGTTACTCTACTTGATCATTTACTACTCTTATTCTAATATATTCTCTCTAATTTAACATTTTAAAATAAAAATATATATCTCTCAAAATGAAAGGTGAATTCAAGAGACGAAGATTTGAAACAATTTCCAACATAAACCCATAAGAGTCTAACTAATAGTACTCGCTTAAAAATTGATTGTAGAATCTAGTTTTCGAAAATCATCCTTAGCATTTTTTTAGAAGTTAAGACTCCTAACACTCGTTGAAAACATGACAAACAAGAAAAATAAATCAATGAGGCATCCAAAACAATTGAAATCTAAAAATAGAATCCATGAAGAGAATGAGTGGACATTAATTCACATAAATAGAAAACATTAGATCATAACAATAATGAGCCATAACATTAGTTGTATAAGGGATAATTAAGCAACATGGACAAATGCCACGATAAATTTAGATCTTGGATTAAAGTCATGAAAGGCTAAGAAATTCTTTTGATATGCTTCCCAAAAGAATATGATTGTCATTATTATCAAGTAACTTCCAAGCACAATCTCAATGACAAATATCTTTGCTAGTTTCTAGCTATCTGGAAGAGGAAATAGGTTCACACTATCATTTGAAATTGTCATAATAATAACTACAATATAAAAAAACTACATATAATAGTAACTACAATATGTGTGTAAATATTTGTGTATGTGTGTGTCTTTATGTATTCATTTTTTTTAAGACAATGCATGCATTATTTCAAACATGTGAAAAGAAATTTATAAGTGATATTTATTTTGACTCTTATATATAGCACTCTATTATTGTATTGATCCTTTTATTTGAACATATTAAATATTACATTATCATTCACTCATCTTGTTTAAACTCAAGACTCAAAAAACCAAATTTAAATCAAAGTTAAGATTTGAGAATGCCAAAGATATTATTAATCACATACCTTTTTATTATAAAGAAATATATATATGTTCATATATTATAAACAAACATAATGTAAAATAATAATTTTTTCCATACTAATTAAAAAACTGGTTTTTGTAGAGTAAATAGCCATAGTCATATTACAACGTATAAAAATAAAACAAAGTTTGACTTATAAAAGTTGTTTTATTTGATCATTTACTACTTTTATTCTATAAAATGAAAAAAAGAAAAAGAAAAAATGAGTTCAAAATACGAAGATTTCAAATAATTTTCAACAACAACCTTATAAGGTTTTAAATTTAGGTTCAAAAT